CGTCTCGAAGATATCTGAAGTCAAATGATTGAATTCACTGAGCTATACATCTTGAGACACTCGCTGTGGGTTTTGAACAAATCGGGTTTGTGGAGGTGTGATGTACAGAACATTTTCTGTGTAATATTTTAATTTATTGACATGTATAGTGTCACTGTCTCTATTGAGAGGTTGATTGGGGCGATCTATTCGAACGACATTGGGTGAGATTATTTCAATTATTGTATATGGTCCAGTAAAATATGATGCTAATTTACCTGTGTCGGGATGGCTATAATTTTTGACCAAAACAAGATCATTCACTTCGAAATGTGGTGTTCTGTGCTCCTTATCAAATATTTCTTTATCTTTTTTATGCTTAATTTGGGTACGAGAGCCTGCTATCTCTCTAGCTCTAGTTATTTCGGGGTATGGGTTAAGATGAGTTCTTAGATCTGGGGTATAACATTGAACATTAAGTAGGTGGGTGGAAAACTTGTGACAGAATGGGGTGTGTTATTATACGTCTGAGTGATGCGCTTAACTAGTTGAGTCCAGGAAGCTTTCGGATTTTCTAGATAAGCTAGTCTGAGTTTGCCAGTAATGGTCGCATTTAAGCGTTCTATTAAACCGTTTGCTTGTGGTGAGTAGTGGTTGTATACCATGTGTTATTAGAAATTTACGAAAATTTTCTGAGGTAAAACCGGGCGCTCTATCAGATAACAGACTTTTGGAAATCCTTGTTGTAGTACATTTTTGAGGGTTTAAATGTACGTTAGGGTACTGGTTTACTGGTTAAACTCCCTTTGAAAGTGATGAAAGCTTGTTGGCAGTTTTATGGTCTATTTGAAATATGTAGTTTTCTCGGTGTTCGTAAGTGTTGTGTTTCGACGTTGTTGCGGACTTAGTAAAAAATGTTATTCAATGATGTCAGGTTTAGATGTGAGTAAAAGGGCGACTTTCGACGTGGACACGCTTTGGGGTGAGTTGTGTCACAGGCATGAAGGCGTCTTTGTGGCCTGTTAAGTGAGAAAAATTGTTGTGATGCGCTGTGTGACACGAGTGAGTGAATTGAATGGAAAGGTGTCACGTGAAGTCTTTGTTTTTGGTACAGCATCTAACCTGTTTCACCATGAATAACAAATTTACTAGACATGGGTGGTGGTTGTATAAACACATCGAAATATTTTGGCTGTTAGTGGATGTGGCACGTTTAGTGGCGACGATATGGAGCTTGTGTGGCTCGAGATTGATTTGTTGCTAAGTCGCGCGCTAATAGATGGTGGCCAATTGGAGAAAGTGATGGGGGAGTGTGTTGAAGTTTGTTGAGAGAGATGTGTGGATGATTAATAATTATGTATGTAAAAGGAAAAGACGAGGGAGTGAAACTTTGTTGGATTTTTAACTTGTTTTGGGGAAGGACAGTTACTTTTCTAGTTGTGATTTTGAAGATATTGTATCTTTCGATTTTTGCAATTAAAAAAAATGCGTTTCACCTATGTTTATTAAAATTTGAATATATCGTTGATTATGGTAGTGCGAAAATTATCCTTGTAAAAAGGCAATGGCGTGATAGTGACTTATAATTTGAATGGGGCGTTTACATAAAATAGTGAACATAACAATTATTTTTGCAAAGTTTTGAGTATTTGATTGAGGAATTGGTGTTTTGTTATAAAAATGAAATATTAAGAAAAACGCACAAATAAGTTTAGAATTATGATTCGAGTAATTAAAAAATAATGATTTTTTTTAAATGTAAATTTGAAAGTAATGGATTAAAATTTATAAGTTGCTTAAAATAAAGTAAAAATTGATAAATGAGGGTGTAAAAAATTTAAAATTTGAATTGAAATGATATTAAAATGATAGAAATTGATTTAAAATGATTACAGTGAAAATAAACATTAAATTTATGGAGAATCAAGTTGTGAGATTGAGGAGAAAGTTATGTAGAGTTTTAAAACTTACAGTTTTAAGGATTGTTCAGTCAGGAGACTTGGTCTTTAGTTGTCGTCCTGATGATGTGGAAGACGCTCCAAGTATGGCTTGTAGAAGCTTGTAGCTTCTGTTTGGCGACGGCGGCATGTCGCCTGGAAGATGGTTGCGTTGTAAGGCCGAAGGTGGGGAACTTCTCACCGGTTTATTTTGCGGGATTTTCGGCTATGTCGTTGGGGTGTTGACAGCTTGATCTTGAAATATAGTTTCTTGGTGGGGAGTGATTGCTTGGTCGTTTCGTTGGAATGGCGTGCTTGTTCCTCCATCTTTGCTCTTCCTCGCTTCTGTCTGGACAGACTTCCTACCGTCTTCGTTGTGGTCTTACTTCGTTGTGGTCATCCTTCGTTGTGGTCATCCTGTCGGCTAATCTGTGATAAAGCTATAGCTGTGGTAACCGAGGGTCAAACCTGTAGTAACCGAGAGGGACAGTCAGGGCGTGGAGAGTTTTCCAGTACCTCTCTGCATCTTGGAGGACCTTTAACAGTTCTCACAGAGTACAGGCAGTCGTGGTCGAGGCAGAGTGGAAAGCTTGGTAATGTCCACACACAAAAAACGAAGAGACACAGTTGTAGTAGGAAAGTTCCGTGAACAGATAAAAGTCGAGCTAAGAGCAAGATGGAGATAGAAGAGATCTTACTGTTTTACATGGCGATGAGGTGGTCCTGGGTACAACCGACAAGGGCTCGTGCCGATGGTGAAGTGACTCTAATTTCGGCTAAAACCGAGGTTTAAAATTTACCTTTGCCGAGGAGGGAGACATGCGAGAATTTGGACTTTAAGCAGGTCCAAAGGACGTGGGGGCGTCTGCGCTTTTCTGCACCCTTTGACCTTGATGGCAACGACTTGCCAAATTCCTTTTTACGGCTGTTGTATTTCTATCTCGTTCTCTTGCTTAGCTCAGCTCTTAATCTATTACATAGTTTTATTTATTCATCCTCAGTTTGTACAAAGTACATTACATATGGTGATGCAATGAAACATGTCAATCATGCGTATAATTATTTATAGATGTGTTTCTATATACAACATGACAATATTGTTATAAGTAGTATACAATATAGGGTTGTTGGTTTAAATTACCATATATATGTGATGAAGCCCTGTTGACTCTTGTAGAATCCTGTCGTCTAAAACTGTGATGAGGTATCCAGGCGACTTAATCTATGGTGTGCGATCCTGTCTAATCTCGCTATACTGTGTTGACCGAGAGGAACAGTCAGATTGGGGAGTTTTCCAGTACCTCTCTGCACCTTGGGAGACCTTTAACAGTTATCACAGAGTACGGGCAGTCGTGGTCGAGGCAAAGTGGAAAGCTTGGGAATGTCCACTAAAAACCGAAGACACAGTTGTACTAGGAAAGTTCCGTGAACAGATAAAAGTTGAGCTAGGAGCGAAAGATGGAGATAAAAGTGTTCTTACAGGTCTACATAGTGGATGAGGAGGACCTTGGTGACAATTTACTAGGGCTTCCGCTGATGGTGAAGTGACTATATTTTTGGCTAAGACGGGGGCCTTATATCTTTTCCGAGAAAGGAAGTATTGCATTTCAGCAGATGCGACAAGAGCGTGGATCGTCTGGCGAAACTGTACACTGGCGCCGTCCTGACAGTTTCCTATCTATCTTTAGATGTTGTTGTGGGAATTCCATCTATCTCGATTTTAGACGTTTTTAACTTCAATCTCTTGCTTCAGCTCAACTCTTAATCTATTACAGAGTTTTATTTATTTATCCTCAGTTTGTACAAAGTACATTACATATGATGATGTAATGACACATGTCAATAATGCGTATAATCATTTACAGATGTGTTTCTATTATTGAAAGGTATTAGTGACAGACTATTATTTAAATTGACAGGTTCTGGGAAAAAAGTAGTTGTTTTTTATTCAGAAAATGATGATGACAATATTGCTGTATCATATTTGATTATCAGATACAAAATTATATCCGGAAAAATTCCAAAAAGCAGAGACCACGGATGAAGCCAGTTCATTTTTAGTATGCAGGAACAAAATTCTAACAGAAAAACATTCATTCGAGCAGAAGACAAAAAGCCAGATCATCTCTTTATAAAAATATCGCTTCTCAGACACAAAGTTTGGAGCGGGACGTTTCACAAGAATGACATCCACGGCGCAAATTTATAATTGTAACGAATAGTATTTGAATAAAAGCATTTAATCGGGTAAAACCCGGGCATTGCCCTTTCTTAATCAATTCTGTCACCGTTTGCTTTTGTGAATGGAATAAATACCCAAATATGGCCATTTCTCATAACCATCGGTGGTTCAGTGGTAGAATGCTCGTCTGCCACGCGGGCGGCCCGGGTTCGATTCCCGGCCGATGCATATATATATATATATTTTACAATTTTTAAAACTCATTTATATATTATACAAGAATGACATCCACGGCGCCAATTTATAATTGTAACGAATAGTATTTGAATAAAAGCATTTAATCGGGTAAACCCCGGGCGTTGTCCGGGTCATTCGGCTAGTTAGTATATACAGTTATCAGCGTCATGCACAATTCTTTCTTAATTCTGTCACCGTTTGCTTTTGGTTCAGTGGTAGAATGCTCGCCTGCCACGCGGGCGCCCCGGGTTCGGTTCCCGGCCAATGCATTTTTTTTAAATTTATATTTTATATTATTAAAATATATGTGCTTTTCCTGTCTATGTACAGATTTATGGTCTATGTACACAAGTATACAAGTATGTATACAAGTTATTTGCAAATTGCGTGGCAAATTTGCCCTTTCGCTCGCAAGCAGCGCCTCTAGCGGTGAAGATGGGAGGTAATATCAGCTGACCTAATGGACATGTAAAAGGTGTTTAACAGAAATAGAGAAAAATCTGGAAAATATATTTTTCGGATTTTTAGTCAAGAAAAATAAATTGACAGGTTCTGGGAAAAAATAGTTGTTTTTTATTCAGAAAATGATGATGACAATATTGCTGTATCATATTGATATACAGTTATCAGCGTCATGCACAATTCTTTCTTAATTCTGTCACCATATGCCTTTGGTTCAGTGGTAGAATGCTCGCATGCCACGCGGGCGCCCCGGGTTCAATTCCCGGCCAATGCATTTAAAAAAAAAAATTATATTATTAAAATATATGTGCTTTTTCTGTCTATGTACAGATTTATGGTCTATGTACACAAGTATACAAGTATGTATTCAAGTTATTTGCAAATTGCGTGGAAAATTTGCCCTTTCGCTCGCAAGCAGCGCCTCTAGCGGTGAAGATGGGAGGTAATATCAGCTGACCTAATGGACATGTAAAACGTGTTTTAACAGGACATAGAAAAAAATCAGGAAAATATATTTTTCGGATTTTTAGTCAAGAAAAATAAATTGACAGGTTCTGGGAAAAAAGTAGTTGTTTTTTTATACAGAAAATGATGATGACAATATTGCTCTATCATATTTGATTATCAGATACAAAATTATATCCGGAAAAATTCCAAAAAGCAGAGACCACGGGTGAAGCCAGTTCATTTTTAGTATGCAGGAACAAAATTCTAACAGAAAAACATTCATTCGAGCAGAAGACACAAAGCCAGATCATCTCTTTATAAAAAAATGTCGCTTCTCAGACACAAAGTTTGGAGCGGGACGTTTCACAAGAATGACATCCACGGCGCCAATTTATAATTGTAACGAATAGTATTTGAATAAAAGCATTTAATCGGGTAAAACCCGGGCATTGCCCTTTCTTAATCAATTCTGTCACCGTTTGCTTTGGTGAATGGAATAAATACCCAAATATGGCCATTTCTCATAACCATCGGTGGTTCAGTGGTAGAATGCTCGCCTGCCACACGGGCGGCCCGGGTTCGATTCCCGGCTGATGCATTTTTTTTTTTTACAATTTTTAAAACTCATTTATATATTATACAAGAATGATATCCACGGCGCCAATTTATATTTGTAACGAATAGTATTTGAATAAAAGCATTTAATCTGGTAAAACCCGGGCGTTGCCCGGGTCATTCGGCTAGTTATATATAACACATATAAAAACATTCTATATACAGTTACGAGCGTCATTCCTCATCTCCTAATCAACTCTGTCACCGTTTGCTTTTTTTTTTTTTTTTTGGAATGGCGCCCTCCTATTGGTTGGCTACGATCACGCCACCTTTGCCCCCCCCCCCCATCATGCCTCCCCCACTCGCTTTTTCGTTTTTGTAACTATTGTGTTGGAGCGGGTCGCTCCTTAAATAAATGCATATATTAGTTAATAACTAAATGGAATCCTCACTTTCTTTTTCCCATTATGAGACGCCTACGTAAGCCAACAGTACATAGACAGATAAAGCACATAGGCTATAGTTATTAACTAATATATGCATTTATTTAAGGCTCCAATTTATAATTGTAACAAATAGTATATGAATAAAAACATTTAATCGGGTAAACCCCGGGCGTTGCCCGGGTCATTCGGCTAGTTATATATAACACATATAAAAACATAAACTATAAGCATAACGCCTAATTATGATCAAATGACAGAGAGACTACACAAACTATAGTAGAAAAATACACTCTTTAACAAAATATTCGACCCACCAAGGAATTGTCCGATTGAGACCAAAATGTTTATATGTGAAGAACATGTATAGGAGGAAAAACCAATAAAATTCCAGAACAATTAATTGTTTTAATCCATAGTTTGATCATCACAAATTGATGCAGTGAATATGTCGTTGGGCCCCACTGGCCTGGATCCAGGCTGCTAGCCTGCGTGTCATGGACTGATAAATATTCCGGATGGTGTGCGGAGGGATTTTTTGCCGAATTGTCTCCAACTGTCGGGCTAAATAGTCAACATTCCGGGATGGTCACAATCGCCTTCTCATTACGTCCCAGATATGCTTTGTGGGTAAGAGAATAGACAACCTTGTTGGTAACGGAAGAGTTCACCAAGATTGAAGACAATCCACAGTAACACGGGCCGTGTGGCAGTACATTATCGTGATGTGAGAGGAACGGCAACAAAACAGGCCGTAGAATGTCATATACGTACCGTTTTGCTGCCAGGGTGCCAGGAATGATAACCAAAGGCACCCTGCTATCGAATGAAATGGAACCCCAAAACATAACGTCCTGTTGTGGACCTATGTGGTGTCCGAAAGTAAGGCAAGAATCCACACGTTGTTGAAGTGCGATGGTCGTCAGGACACAGAAAGAAACGGGACTCGTCACTAAATAATCTATGTTTACCTGCAGCGCAGTTCCAAGATGATCGCTCCCGACACCACTGTAGTCGGACTTGTCGGTCATTTTTGACACTTATGTACTGGTCACACGTTGGATGGTAGATATCGTCGATTCCGTCCTGCAACAGTCAATCACTCTGTCCTCCCGTTCTGATGTGTCCCTTGCTCAAACGCTGCCGTCCTGACGTTTCATTCTTCTGTTGTTGACCCACTCTTGCCAACATCGTCTAATAGCCGCATAGCTTCGACACAGATGTCGCGCGATTAGTCGATTTAACCAGCCAGCTTTTTTAATCCAATGACACGACCTTTTTTAAACTCTGACATATGTTCGTAATAGACACGAATATTTCTGCGTGGCATTGATACAATGTAAAGTGACTTACTGAAAAATATTTAAACGGAAATTTCAAAAATAAGCAAGTGTCGCGCCGAATATTGAGCCTTGAATACTCGTGCTGGATGCGCATTTCAGATGCGCTGAAGCTCTTGCTTTGCACAAATCTACCCTCAAATTTCAATCATTTGCAAGTTTGGTCGAAGCGTCTTTGTATAAGTATTTTAATATATATCGGACAACTTCTTCTTGGTAGATCAATTTTTTGTTATAGAGTGTATTATCACAACATTTGTTGTATATATATTAATTAATTGTTACCACAGAGTGTGTGTAAGCTCACAGTTAAATAGGCGCTAACCGAAAGAAAAAAAAGCTCCTTTGTTTTAATATTAGCTTCCCTTTTATATTTTGTTCTCTCTCTTGTAAATCAATAAATATAATGTTTAATTAATAATTATTGGAATCAGTTTCATTAAAAATTCTAAGCAAAGTCAACAATTGGTAGCAGAGCGTGGTTGTTTGATATAAAGCTCAAAAGCGAAAATATTTAATCTGAAGATTAAGCAAGAAGTTTATTCTGATCGGTAAACTGAAGCACTTCTGAGAGGTTAAAGGTATTTATATAGATTAAGTTAAATTATATCTATATCTTGCATGTTCAAAAGCTATCCAATATTTAAATAAATTTAAAATATATATTTGTTTTAAATTATATTGTTTGTTTATATATATTAGCTAAAAAGGTGAAAATGCTTAATTCTAATTTTTTATCTTAAACAAAAATTGAACCATTAACAGGAACTAATTATCAAATTTGGGCGTTTTGAAAATCGGCGCAGTTCTGAGAGGAAGAAAATTATTCAAATGTATAATTTCTGATCCAGAACCTGATATGGAAGACAAAAGTTCTTGGGAGATTTGGAGTGATAAAAATGATGAAGCTTTTGGGATAATCATCAAAACATTGACTAATGAACAAGCTGGAATTATCATAGGAGAAACAAATGCGAAGAAAGTATGGGACTCACTGAGAAAAACATACACAGGCAATTTGGAAGATAAAATTATTGATATAGGCTTAGAATTAAAGAACATTAGAATGAAAGATAAAATGAAACTGTAGATGAATATATAACAAGGGCAAAAAATATTGCTGCTAGGAGTTCATCATTAGGGCATCAATTTCCCCCAAGAGAACTTTCATTTCATATTGTCAGAGGAATCCATCCAAGGTATGAAAATATTGCTATTGTCTTACGATCTAAGAGAGAGGCAACAATTGAAAAGATTCAACAAACTTTGAGAGAAGAAGAGTCAAGAAGAAATATGAGATTGAATCAATCGGTTGAAAATGGGCATGAACAAGCATACAGAATTAAAGATAGAAAAGTTAAACAATTTCAGCCAAAAATATGTTTTGTTTGTAATAAAAGGGGACATCTAGCTAATGATTGCTGGTTTCGAGATAAACAGAAACAAGGATATCAAAAGAAATGGACTCCTGATTATAGAAATCACAAATACAGTAGGGAACATTCAAATAACCTTGTAGATACACACTATGAGAAGTGGAATTAATGAGCAAGCCTTTGAAACATATGTAAAAGAATTTGAAGATTCACCAGATGGGAGAAATGATAGGGAAATATGGTGTATAGATTCAGGATGCACCGCACATTTAACCCCAAACCTAAGTTTGATGGAAAATGTGACAGATTATGAAAGCGAACTCAATCTAGCTGAGAAAGGCAAAAAATTACCCAAGCCATAGCCAAAGGAGATATGAGACTTACTAAATGCACAAGTGAAGGCCAAGAAAATATTCGCATCAAAGATATCTTACATGTACCAAGTTTAAGGAATAATTTCTTGTCAGTATAAGAATTATTCAACAAAGGAAATTCGGTTATTTTCAATAAGAATGGAACAAAAATGTAAAATGAAGGGAATGATTTAGTTGCTGAAGCATATATTAAAGATAGATTGTTTATGATGGAAACAAAACTAAGAAATGTACCAATAGCAAAAAATGAAAATGTCATGGTTATAAATACACATATTTAAAAAAATAGCAATATAAGTTTATGGCATAAAAGATTAAACCATATAAATAAAGAATACATGAAAAAATGATTCAAGGACATATTGTAAGAGGATTGGATCTAAAATTCGAAAGGTTACCAGTGTGCGAAGCATGCATAATGGGAAAACTGGTTCAGAAGCCATATAATATTACGGAAAATTATACAGTTAAGCCCCTGTAGTTGATTCATATGGATTTTGTGTGGACAAATGCCATTTCAATCTTTAGGAGGATCTAAGTATTTTCTTGTTATAGTAGATGATTACAGTAGAAGAATCTTTGTATATTTCCTGAGGTCAAAAGATGAGACCTTTGAAAGATTCGAAGAATTTAAAGCAAGAGCCAAAAACGAATTAAGTCTTAGAATAAAAGATGTAAGAACCGACAATGGAACTGAATTTTTTAACTCTAGATTTGAAGGACTTTTCAAGAGAAGTGGGA